CGGTTAGCGCTACGGAGATGTGTTGAAGCTAGGTGTCAGGACGTCGAATGTCTCAGTACTCTGTCAGTTTTGTGCCTAGTTGTAGCACTTTCTGACTGTATATAGTATCTAGTTACAGTGGTGGAGAGTTACTCTTAACTCGTTTCCATATGTCCTTTTCCTTTCTACTATTATTTCTTTTGTTTTTTTTTTATGTCAAGAATGGAATGCCCTAAATGATGGCCTCTACATCACAATTCCGTATTATACGCATTGATGTGCAAGCCTTTTCTTGCAGAAAATGGCACACGCATTATCATGTTTTTCTGCGGGGGAAACATGTGGGTAGTGGTGGTGATACTGTTTATACACGCGGGTCATGATGTGCATGTTGTTGCCGATTTTCATGACTCTGTCAAAACATTTCTTGCCTTTCAGATACTTCAGAGTTCCACACCCTCAATCAGAATTACTTGGGAAATGTAACCAGGTGTATGACGTAGATGTTTTGTTGATTCTGTGTTTTTAAAATTGTAGTCATGGGTTGTCGTGATAAGGTCATCCTGTATCATATTGCACTGAAATCGTAATCCTGTTGATGTCGATACAACTTGTGGAAGTAGTTCAATGACGTCAGTGTTAGTACACGATTGTCTAAAATAACACAGCAAAGGAGGAACAATGTGAACATGTAAATAATCTACGTGGAGATAATAATTTTAATATACCTATGAATAGGAGACACGGTCGAGGATTTCCTGAACAATGCACGGGACAAAAAGCTATGGCTGGACTTCATTGACAAATGTACACCGGTGTAAAAAATGGCACGTACTTGTCATGTGCTAGAACCTGTATATGGTTTTTTTCGTATGCTATTCCTCCTGCTGCAATCTATTTCATGATGAAACAGTTGACAGATGCGTGGAATCCATTATTTGGGAGATATGCGACCTGTATTATTATCATTATTATTATTATTATTTCCTCTGTGCTGCGCTGATGAGTTCAAAAAGAACGAAACAGCATGCTGTCCGCAGATTGAGTATTTCGCTCCTGCTCTTGTAGCAGTTGAGCACTCTTGCGTGGGGTAGTGCCTTTGCTGTTTGCGTTATGCAGAGCTCACTGACTTGTCAGTTTGAGCACTCTGGCAAGGTACGTTCGGGCTAGATTGGAAATTTTTATTTTCATTGCTATCAGGTTCGGCCTCATTTCCTCTGTGCTGCGCTGATGAGTTAAAAAAGCACGAAACAGCATGCTGTCCGCAGATTGAGTATTATTATTATTATGAATAGGATGAAGGCCGCAGACATCATCAAGCAACTACGTTACTTGTTCGACATGTACATTGTATGTGTATTTTGTAATAATAATATTATTGAAACCCAGAATCGATTTTCTCGTTACTATCATTTGTGCCAGTGGTACAGACTGAGCTAACACAAAATGCAATGCCATGTGGGAGAGCTAGGCCGCCCAAGTTGCCAACTCCGTCAGCACCACCGTTGCCCTTGCCACCACCGGAGCCGCCACTGGCTCTTCTTGCGGAGGGGGCTGGGGTGGACCCACCTACACCCGCGCTGGCATCACCAATTCTCACACAAATTTCCACGGCGCCCGCAGCACCTACTCAGCAAGACAGGTAATACAAACATCTCACTGAATCTACACCCTTAGTCCAGAGGCCTAGGAGGGCAACAGCAAACTACCGTACTGGCAATATATGTTGCCGCAGTGAGGCCATGAAGCGTTACATTGACACATGTTTGCCGCACGCAGGGCGTTACCAGCGGCGGATCCAGAGTTCACCTGAGGGGAGGGCGCGGGTAATATTCATGACAGGGGAACCTATGCGGTACCTGTATTTTGTACACATTACGACATAGCGGCTATTTTACGCCATAGGCTTAGCGGTTATGTAGAATTACTATTTTAGCACATGCACTCACTCCCACTTTTTCAACCACTTCATTGAGGACTCTGGCTGTAGTAGAACATAGCCGTACTACATTGAATTGTGTAAAGATAGTGCTTCAAAGCTCAAGACATGCTGAGATCAAGAACAATGGCAAAATAATAAAATATGCGATTACTTGGATGGCCATGTCCAGCAGTAAGAATGGATGATGAGGTATTCACCTCGGGTTGATCCTTGTCGATGCAATGTAGGAAACGGGACGCACGGTGCACAAAAAACGCCTTCCTCGCCAGCCTTTCCGGAATAGGCAAGCCACTCAAACCTCTTCAGTAGCAGCGAGCGAGTGGAAGTACCGGTCTTTCGGCGGCTGTCGGGATAATCCCTAGATGGCAACACCGTCTGCTTATCAGGCTTCCGGATCCCAAGTATGTTGCGCTTTTCTGCATCGCTGAGGGTTGCACCGCCAATAGCTGCATCAACGGCATCCGAGTAACTTCGCTCCGTAGCAGTGCCACCAGCCACATTCGTGACAGTCACAACGTCGTCATCTGCGATAGTTTCAACAGGTAAACGCTCCTGACTCGCATCCGAAGGTGGGACTGTCAGTAGTAGTGACTACTACTGACAGTCCCACCATCGTCGTCAGAATCTACTTCGGATTCCATTTGGGGAAGATCAGAGTCTGAGCAGACCTCGATCTCAGGATCTTCGCGGTGGTCCGAATTCTCCTCCAAAGACGAATCGCTCGACTGAGCAGCTGACGAAGCGCAAGTTCGCTTCGCGAAAAATCCGTGGAGAGTTTGTTGGCTCCCTAGCCGCTTGGGCGGGCGGTGCGCCATCCCTTTCACCGACTTAGCTATACAAGTTCGTGAACTGAACACTAATTTCAAAACTAAAAGTCAACCAAAGCCTAAGAGAACAACTACTCCGTGTTCAGAAGAACTTTCTTACCTGACACTAGAAACTACTTGTCACAGCATGTGCAAACACTTGCGCAACTGCCCATGTGCATGCACTAAAAAAATCGAACTGTTTGAGGGGAGGGCGCGCGCCCACCGCGCCCTCCCCTAGATCCGCCACTGGTTACATGCAAAGTCGCACAGGAGCCGTTACACAGGTTTCTATATTGCCGCAGTCCTTTTTTTGCTATTGCCGCATCAATTTTTTGCTATTGCCGCATCATTTTTTTGCTTTTGCCGCATCATTTTTTCTTTTCATCCACATTGAAGGCACAGAAATTCAGTTGCTATCCAACTGGTACAAACCCGACGGCAAATGGCGACAACGATATCAATAGAAGACTGTATATTTTAACTATCAGATTGCAAAACGACCTCGGGAAAGAAGAAACCATTGAGATCGCCAACCACTGAATGATGCGCCTTCGAGTGTCGGACAGTACCAACAGGAGGAGGCTGGACCGGTATCATGAGTCACTGAATGAAGCGGATCTGGAGGAACAACTCCGGTCACGTGACGAGCAGCTAGTAAATGGGAGACACGTGTTCTGTACAGAAACGGAGGATGAGAAGATGAAAGAGGAATTGGATAACGAAACGGTCGGTGAAGAGACAGAGAACAAGGCACATGATGGTGGTGATGATGATCGTGAGGATGATGAGCGGAACGAGGAAGAGGACGATGAGATGGTCGAGTCGGCGTCGGCTGGGAAGGAGCGAGATGATGCGGATGAATGTGTTGATCGTAAGAAGTCGGCTTTCTATCTACACTTGTTATATCGTCCTGACTATCCTGGTGTGTATGATGACTCATATTTCTGTACTGTGTCGTGCGCGATATTCTGGTTATGTCCAGGAGATGAAAGTCCTTGAGGCAGTTTGTATACGTATTCACAAGCCTGTTTTGTGCAAGCAGAAAGAGCATGTTGTTGCACTGAGGTGGTATTCGTAGGTTGACACTTCGTTCAGTGCCTTCTCACCTTTGGTTACGTAATCTTGTTACCTTTTTGCGTTTCCTCTAGTGCTTTTATTGCACTTGTATCATGATGTTATTTCTAACGCCTTTCTATTACAGTACTTAACTTCTGTTTCTTTGCTTGTATCCTTTAGTTCAATATTATCCCACTGATGATAGGAACGAGAAAATCGAATCTGGGTTTCAATAATATTTTTGTTATAAAAATACATACATGTTGAACAAGTAACGTAGTTGCGTGATGATGTTTGCGGCCTTCATTCTATTCATAGCTATACATGTATGATGTTATAAATTACACAGACAGCAGAACGAGCAGGTGCGGTTTCCTAACTCCAAGTTTCATGAACTTTAAAATCGATCATCAGACGAAAATTGGTAGTGACCCTGCCCTAAGAGTACTGCTACATGTAGCATGAATGTGGCAAGCCCAGCCTAACAATTACCATTATGATATGTAGCGCGATATAGAGTGTGTGCGAAAGTGTTAGTTATCTCTGTACTGTTAAGTGACCGTCTCGTGGAATCCGGTGGCAAAGCTTGAAAAAGGTGTTATTTGGCCTAGCGTTAGCTGCAGAAAGAAAGTGTTATTTTCTGTGTATAAATATTATTGTTAACTGAGCGATATTCTGCTAGGATCAAGTGACAAAATTTGACAGTAATATTTATTCTCATGGCGGCACTTCGACACAAGCTCGGACCGCTTGTTGAGGCATCTGGCTTTGTCTGCACGGGCGATGATAAGTTTCTCCGTGAGGCAGCCATCACACGTCTTGCTTGAGCTGGAGTAAGCCCTTGCAGATCAGGCGGTCGACCATGCAATTGGGTGCGGCTTGCCTGTCCTCTTCAACTTCCACACATGCTTGGACAGCTCCGTGTTCTTTTCATACAGCTCGTGCCTTAATGTGTTGAGCTGGCCATTTTATCCTTGCTTGAACGTGTTCTCGGTTAGGTGATAGTAGAATGTATGATCAACTGTGTCGCTATTCATTTCGGCGCTGTAAACAATGCTGCTATCGAGGCTCACATCGTAAAGACCCAACACGGGATGGTAAAATGTCAGAATTTTAATAGAGACCACTAGAAAGTGAACGCACCGCTAAGGGGTCAGATTTCAGTTGCAAGCTCTGTAGTTAACTGCACTACGAAAACAACGGAAGACCTAACGAAATTGTGATACAAATTTATTTTTCAAAAGTATGACGAATACTGGACGAATATGACGAATACTCATATTCTATAAAGTATGACGAATACTGGACGAATAATGACGAATACTAATATTCTATAAAGTATGACGAATACTGCACGAATATGACGAATACTCTATGAAATTAGATAAGACGAGGACTAATTTGAAGACATATACATGTAGAGGGCTAGGCTTGGCGCCGTTTCTTTGCCCCTTCAATCTGGCCTCGTCGTGGCGCTACTGGCGGCCGCTGCTGTCTCCGCTGTTCTGCCCGCGGCACTGCTGGCGGGGCCAACACGACCATTGGGGCGTAGGGTCGTCTTTGCGCTCCTGGAGCAAACACGACCTGGGCGCGGGGTGGTGGTGGTGGAGCTACTGGTGGCGGCTGATTTCCTGGCTGTTCACCCCGCGCCGGTGCTCTTGCCGCCAACATGACCTGGGCCTGGGGTCGTCGTGCTGGCGCTACTGGTGGCCACTGAGGAAGTCTTGGTAGTTCTGCCGGCAGCAGTGCTGGCTCATCCAACATGATCTGGGCCCTTTCTATCGCCCTCCTTTCTTCTTCAGTCTCTAAAACAGAGAAAGAGATGAGATATCGGATAATAATAATTTCATTAGTTTAACTATAATAATTATGTGTAACTTAGAAACCCTCCATTTCAGACGTACCCTCATCGCTATTGCAATTCTTTTTAAATACATCCACTTTCAACCTCATATCTTATCCTTTTTGATATCAATATTTCTCGTGGTAAACGCAGACCGAACAAGCGTGTTTTCAACTCTCATGGGAAACTGGTTTTCAACAAATTAATGTTCAAACGCCGACGCTATGGCGGATACATACTTTCCGCGTCTGCCATGTTTGCAGGTTACTGTTGAATGAAGTACCATTCAACTATCACCAACCATTCATTAAATGCAAGAACAGTTGTAGAAGATTATTATCTAAATTCTGCAGAGAACTTCTATAGGTAAGCAATACTGCTAGCGAAATACAGCATGTAGTAGTGGGTTCACCTACCAGCAGCGCACAGCCGGCGGTCGTATTCATCATTCCGGATCTTGTTGACATGGGCATTGAGGTCATTTCCGGGCCAAGCCATCTCTAAGCTTTCTTTCTACAAAACTCAGTAATAGACTCTTCTGGAACAAGACTCTGGTATATAGAGTTTGAAACAAGACTCTGGTATGTACAATGAACTTGTATGTGTTGCGTGCTTTGTCCAACACTAACAATATTACATTTCCCTACACTAGCAGAATACTGGCCATCACAAATTTTCGACGATGTTGGACTTTTTCAACTCTTTGCTAGTCCACCATGAGCTTTTATAAGTCTACCTATACACTGAGATACCTATGACAGAGATTATATCGATGTGTGCCACTCACACTCATACGCACAGAAACATAATTATCATTCTCCATAACTATACCTACTATACATACTCTGTAAATCATACGCTCACCCGCAGCAACTGAGTACGACGGTCCATTGATCTCCCGCCAGATTTGAGTTGTAGAAGTGCAAAATGGTTCTCACTCCCCGTAGAACAAGGACGCAGACGAGACAGAAAACACACAATGCTCCATTTACGAAAGCACTGAGACATATTAAGTACAACATTCTTTAATTTCCAAAGGATGACGGTTAATGTATGAAGAGAACGATAACGTTTGATATTAGTAATGTTTGATATGAAGTGTATTCTGGACTGCATGCATTGATTGCGTGGATGCATACGAACTTGACTTTGTTCTGGAATATTGTGAGAAATGGGATTAGACGAAAACCAATCCTAAGACAAACTATTCAGCTAAGGGCTACTGGTTGTTAGGCCCCGGCGGATAATGCTAGCATTATATTTATATCTACAAGTAGCATAATTAGCTCTTTCTGGAAACTAGCGCTGCACTAGCATAATTCGGCAAGTTTAGCAGAAAACTAGCATACTATTGAAAAATATGAGATTTTCGTGACAATTCTCAATGCCCTCGCAACTACTACCGCGCCTTTGCTTGCTGAGTAATAATAATTCTGTGCTTCTTGTATTTAGTCTTTTTGCAGAACATGACGTATGCTGCAACATACATGCATGATGTTCTCGCTCCACATATACTGGCACACACAGAGACATAGACAGCAATAGCGACACTACACAAAGTGAAGGGTTGTTGGCTGCAGCCAGATGTGAACCGGGTAACGAGTGAGGTATGGAAGCAAGGACTGAGAACAGAGTGTCTCAGATAGAATAGGCGTGCCAGTGTATAGCAGAAATAGGCCATGATGCAGAACCACTTGGGACCGTCAAATTAATTTGTCTGGACCGAGCCAGCCGGGAAAAGACCCTCATGCCGACGGACGCAGTTGTGACTTAAAAAACCGGGTGTATATCCCCAATGGCGATTAGGCATCATGTAGGCATGGCAAGCACACCACGGCAAAAATTGGTAAAAAAGCAATGATAATAGAAATGAAGGGTGGGAGGGCAGGGACAGTGGTGAGACTCAAAACTGACTGGTGAGACTCAAAACTGACATAAGAAGTCAGGAAAAGAAGCAACAGTACAGAACGCACCAGATGCCATATTTGCCACTGAAAATTTCGCGAGAAATAATTTCTCGCTGCGCTCGGCCGGCGAGAAATACAACTTATCAATTACATAGGCAGCAGAACGAATGTTGCGGTTTCGAAACTACCTGGCGCTATCCGTTTCTGACGGCAAAAAAGCATAGGATGTTATAATTTTTTCAATTCTCCTATTTTTTCAGGCATATCCTGGGATTCGAACCCGCACTATCGCCCTACATGCATTCCCCAATACACTTCGCATTCATACCCATTCTTCCAAGTTGCTTCACGTTATTATCTTGCGTTTGAATGCCCTATTTGAATATTGCGGGCAGCTGTATGTGGTCAGTTTTTTTTTTTTAATAGCAATGAAAAGTATGAATGCCGCAGACATCACCACGCAACATGACAATTTGTTCAAGGTTTGGTTTTGTGTGTTTCCAAAATCGATTTTGTTTTTCCCTTGATCTCTTTAGTTGCGTATTTCCACTGATGATCGCAACGTGAAAATCGATTTTGGAAACACACAAAACCAAACCTTGAACAAATTGTCATGTTGCGTGGTGATGTCTGCGGCATTCATACTTTTCATTGCTATTATTAAACTTTTATCTCCACGTAGATTATTTTTTTTTTTTATTTATTTTTTTTACTGAATACCACAGTACCATCAGATGCTGCACAGCGGGGGCGGTGGCATATTGGATTGAAGTGGGGGCGGGGCAAAAGTAACTCCTCCAACCAAAGGTCTCGGAATCATCGTTACTCCTTTGCGCCAATACATAGGAGAAAAGAAACATGTGCATCAAAGAGGGTAGCACCGGCCTTGCAAACGATAATGGGGAGAATTTGAGATTGGGATAGGACAAAACAATAGTAAAAGCAGTGCACCGTAGGAAGATGGAGTGAACTGATAATCGGATTTTAAGGCTGAGCGAAGGGGATCAAAGAGGGGTAGAAGGGAGCTGGAGTGCGGTCAGTATAATTCGGCTGGTGTGTTGGCAGAGATCATAGCCTGTCTGTGGCCCACTCCCACTTGCTGCGCCGCAAGTGGTCATTGACGTTTTTCTTGAACGTGTGCATACCTCTGCGAGAAGGGGGAGACTGCAGAAGGGTAGGTGGGAGCTGATTCCACGTTGCGATGAGGGAGTGGGGAAATGAGCGGAGCTGTGGTTGATGGTACGGTACGGTACGGGAGACGGTGTCGTATTGCCCTCGATCGTACCTGTCCTGTACCTATCCCTACCGTACCGTGCCATCAAAAGACGGCTGGCCACAATGCATATTCAAATAGGGCTTTCAAATGCAAGATCACAATGTGAAACAACTTGGAAGGATTAGTATGTAGTAGTAGTAGTAGTAGTAGTATTCTTTTATTTTCCATCGGAAGCCTCAACAGTGATGAACACAACTCTTAAGAGGGCCGATAACAGGGTAGAGGGGTGTGGGGTGAGGAAAAAAAATAAAATAATAATAATAGGAGATATTTAAACTAAACTAAACTGATACTTGGAACAATAAAGCAGCAGTAAGCAGTAAGCAGTAAACACAGGTATACAATACAAGCGATGCAGATGAATGAGGCCGTTTGCTGAAAAGAAGATCTAAATACTTCTGAAAAGACGCTGCGTCTTTAAGCATGGTCATAATGGGATAGTGCAAGAATTAAAGAGATGTTTTTAAAAACGAATTTAAACTAGGAACGCAGTAAACACAGTTATACAATACAGGCGGTGCAGATCAATGAGGGAGTTTGCTGAAAAGAAGATCAAAATACTTCTGAAAAGACGCTGCGTCTTTTAGCATGGTCTGAAGGTGCTTAGCAAATGTAGTGCGGTGCTGGGTGCGCCACTCCACAGGCAAAGAATTAAAGAACAGGGCAGCACGATTTGAAAAGGAATTGACACCGTCAGTCGTCCGGAATTTAGATATTGCAATAGCAGCATTAAAAGAGCTTCTTGTTGTCCTAGGGCCGGTTGAAACTTGAGGGAAAAGGTCCGTCAGATTTGGGAGAGGGAAAACGACATGATTAACATGGATAAATTTAGCAATGCTACGAATAAGGTAATGTTCAAACGGATCAATCGACAATCTAGCTAACAGCGGCATGACGTCCTCTTGTAGTTTCGAGCCACAAGCAGCGCGTACAGAACGACGATAAACGGACGAGAGTCGCTGTCGGTCCTTGGCGGATAGCTTCATTGCAAAGCAAGAGCAGCAGTATAATAAGTCAGGCAGGATAACCGAGAGGATAAACTGCCGTGTTGCCTTCAAACTTAGTTGCCGAAAACACCGTCGAAGAGCGCCAATTTTCGTGCAAGTCTTCCTAACGATAAAGTCTATGTGACCAGACCAAGAAACATCACTGTCTACAATGACTCCCAGGATTCTCGTGCTAGACACTTGAGTCAGAGGCTGTTGGTTAAAAACGATTGGAGTTGAGAGGGGTTGAGAAGACTTAGAAATCATCAAAGTTACAGTCTTTGTTGTATTAATGCGCAGCCCAAGCTCGTCTAGATCCACAGAAATTGCAGATAACGAATCAGTAACGGTAGCGACGGCCTCAGCTTGTGTACGTCTGCTGGCATACAACGTCATGTCGTCAGCGAACATCGGGAGCTTGCAAGAAAAGGCCTCTGCTGTCAATGGGAGCTTCCGTACATATATGTTAAATAGCACCGGACCCAGAATGGTGCCCTGTGGCACGCCACTAGTGATTGCCACCAACGGAGATGTTCCAGTGTGGGTAACCACCCGCTGTTGTCTGGCACAAAGGTATGATCGGAACCAGGCCAGGGCCACTCCCGAAATACCGACAGCTGCGAGAGCAAGAAGAAGCTGTTGATGCTTCACCATATCGAACGCTTTTTTCAAATCAATACAGACAACCGCCGTATGCAGTCCAGCGTCGCGCGAGACAAGCCAGTCGTTCGTAACCTTGGTGAGAAGCTGTCCGGTAGAACGGTGCTTCCGAAAGCCAAACTGGTCCACATGGAATGGGCAACGATCATTAAAAAAAAGATGTATACGAGAAAACACAAGCCCCTCCAGGAGCTTGGCTAGGATAGATGTTAAAGACACTGGGCGGTAGTTAGAAGGGCAGTCGCGGGGGCCTTGAGTTGACTTCAGAATTGGTGTAATGTTTGCAATTTTGAACAAGGATGGGAATTGACTAGACGAGAGGGAAGTGTTGAATAAGATAGCAAGTGATAGAGCAATTACGTCTTTTGATATTTTAAGTAGACACGGAAGAATGCCGTCCGGTCCAGGGGCTTTATTACTTTGGAGGTCACCGATCCGAAGCTTCACCTCTGCTACTGTAACGGCTGAAAACGTAGTAAGGTCGTCGGATTTAGCAGGTCCCATTGGGAGCTTGTAATTCGCTTCCTTATCTGTGACAATCGAGTGAAAATAGTCGTTCAATCGCTCAGGTGGGATGGTAACTGTTTGCTTCGGAGAGGAACGCTTTGTGATCATATTCAAGGCTTTCCAGAACTGCCGAGGCTCCCGTTCATACCGCTGGCACTGGTCTGAAAAGTAAAGATTCTGTAGGTGTCGATACAAGTTATTGCACTGGTTGCGCAGCCGCTTGAATTGTACAGATAGGCTCTCGTCTCGAAAGTTAGTAGCTTTTAGTTTCTTGAAGACCGATTTGCGCTTTCTAATCAAGGCAAGGAGTGGCGAGGTCATGAACGGGCAATTTTTCCGACGGGACTTCCTGTGTTTCCTGGTTACGTACGGTGCGATGATATCAA